ACTCCCTATCTATCAAAGAGTTTACCATTCTTTTTTAATTATTTTACAAATTATCATATCTTTGTTCTAAGACCTTTTTAATAGCATCTATTGTCTATTTTATTTTTGTATTTTGATAAATTAAGTTTTTTAATTAATAATATTGTGAGCAAGTTTATATTGCCAGTGTATTAAAGTGTAATTGTTTTTAAAAAAACAATTTCCAAAAAATGACTTAAAGAAGTGATTTATAATAATTAAAGAAATATTCAAGAATAAATTTATCAAAAATTCTTTAAACAGTGTCACATAATGTTTTACAAGAAATATGATTTATATAAAACCCAAGATTATTAATAAATCAAAAAAACTAGGACAATTTCTTTAGTTTTAAAATCAAAATAAGATATTAAATTTTCAAGAAATCAAGCAAAGTTATAATTTAAACTTTCAAAGTCAAGTAAATTTATTTATAAACTTATCTTACTTTTGAGTAAATTATAATTGCATATATACTTATAAAAATTGATTATTTGGGCTACTTGGATTTTTTAGATCTCTTGGATTATCTAATCTATGGTAAATTATGTTACATACTATATTTGATAAAGTGATCTATGCTAATTAAGTATTAATAAAAATATTAAAGAATATCAAAGAATACCAAAGAAATAATTATAAATAAATAGATAAAAATAGAAATAGAATAAAGATCCTAACTAAAAATAACTATATAATAGTATTAGAAACTAGTTTTATTACACTTTTTCTTTCTTAAAAGGTGAAGTCCTCTAAGTTAAGTTTTTTACATAAAAAATAAAATTATTTTGATAAATTTTATTGATTATTTTAAATAAATAGTTTATGAATAAGAACTTTGTTTGATAGTTTAATTTGAATTGCCTTAAAAGATTTTATAGGTACATCTAGCTATGCAATAGTAATAGTGAGAATTTTGAAGTAGTGTTTAAGATTCTGGATAATATTCAATAGTTTTTCCAAATAGTATAAATTGATCAGAATGACTATGTAATCAGATTGTTATATGTGTTACTTGATTTTCAAAAATATATTTTTGATACTATCTTTTACTAGAGTAATAATATTGTATAAAAGTTAATATCAATTTGAAGTTTTATTAAAATAAATAATATATCTATTTTAAGTAAGTCCAGTTTCCTTGCAGTTAATTGTAATAATTGAATTTGAACATTTTTAATAAAAACTTTTTCATGTAGATATTTCTTAAATATATTTAAAGATTGCATCATTGATAATCAATTCATCTCAATTTGGTTTTATGTGATAATTGTTCAACTGATTATTAGTTCTTATTCAACATTAAATAGGTAAACTTGATAAATGGTTTATTACTAATTTCCACATTTCATATTTCAATTTTCTTGAAAATGTTTTATAGATTTGAGTATGCTATTAAATATTTTAATTTTAATTTTTTTTTTTTAAAGGCTAGCTCATTCCTGCGCCAGTTTTGAAGCTTTATTAAAGTCAAGATAAGTTCTAGAAACAATCAGGATGAGTAATTACCCATACTGTCTAAGGATTTACAGATCAACAAATAGTACAAGGGGGCATCTATTTACGTCTCACCCAACCAGGATTGGATAACTATGTGACTGTCTGGTGTAGGACTTTTTCTTAATTCTAACTCAGCTAAGGATTTGGGGATTCTTTTATACTTACAATCTAATGAAGTGATTCCACCTATTACCTCGAATATTCGGAAATGGCACTTCTTAGGACCGTAGTTCACTGGACGACTCTGTTTCTATCCCCTTGTGGGGGAGCTAACATGTCAGGAACTTGCCTAAGATGCCCAGCATCACCAATGTTGGGGATCTCTTATACAGAATCCTATTGGCTTCGTTAGTGCTTTAAATTTTTTCTGGAGGCTTGTTGTGTTTTTTGTGCTGTCAGGTTACTTGATTGGAGTACCGGTCCTATATAAAGGACATGCGATCCCTCGATTGGTTGTCTTGAAAATCGGAACCTGTTCTGCTTGTTATGGGCCTGTTATGGACAGCTCTATGGGTGATTGGGTCTTTTTTTTTTCCCATTTGAGGAGTGATCTTGTTTGTGTTTCTGAAACCCAGTACCACTTATTTTGATCATATTCATGGAACCTTGTGTATGTCTTATTCTGTTATGGCTATGATAAGTGGGTAGGGTCCTTCTTCACTTTTTTCCTGTTTGGTACCTGAGATCGGTTTGTGTTTTGGAGGCCTCGTGTTACTCATGTTAACCTTCTATAGAACCTTGTGTTGATTTGTCATTCTTACTGTAGGCATGATGAGCATATAGGTTCTCTTTATTGCCTTGTGAAGCACATGATCATTATCATGGGGGGATAAGATCTTTGTACTACTTTGTGGCTGAAATTACACTTTGTCCTCATATGATATTGAACTCTGGATCTTGTGATTGCGACCTGGGAGCACTACCATTGTGCTATCGATCCACAGATCTATTAAATATTTTAATTTAATAATTAATTGTATAATATTGATATAAGAGAAAATAAAATTTCTTAATCAAGTTTTATTTTGTTATTATTGTTCAGAATATAAAGAGAAATTGATCTTCCTTTAGATCAAACTGTCCTTACTTTATAAGCAATTTAGAGCTTAAAGAAATACCTTGTAGTAGCTTCATATTTATAATCAAAAAGTTATGGTTCAATATCAATAATGAATAACTTCACTTTTTCAAGTAAACTCAAGATGGTTGGCTTTGAAACTTCCTCAATGATTAGCAGTATGCTTAAAAATTTAAACACTTTGTTTCCATATAGAAGAATCATAGGTTCAATTAGTTCAAGTAAATATCATTTCAAATTTATCTTCCTTTAAAACTATTGATGAGTAATAAATAAGTTTAATTGATCCTTCTTCTTGAAATATTTTCTTAATTTGACAATTCTTATATTTAAATCAAAGATCAACATATGATTCTAATTTTTTGCAAGTTTTAATAATGTGTTTTTTCAGAAAGAGAAATCGAATAATTAATTTTACTATTTGTTTTTTAATAAAAATTTTTTTTGTTACTTAATACTAAAATATTTTATTGTTATTTTAATGCTTTGTGGGTTGGTGACTTGTGCTATAAGGTGATGTTCTTAGGGTTCTTATTTCATGGTTGCATTTTTTGCTTCTAATAGATATTATGTGTTTCAATATTTAAAATTTTATAAAAAATAATGATTAAATTGATAAAAAAAATATTTATAACTTAAAATTCAATCAAATTGATTTCTAGATCTAATAAATCAAAACTTGGTTATTTTATCTTATACCTGAGTACAACTAGTAGCTAGATATTATTTATATTTTTTTTTCTTTTTTTATAAGATTTCAAAATTTATATGATTTATAATTTAACTATTAAATAAAATCATACATTTAATGCCAGTTAGCAAAAAAAAAAAGTTACATATAAACAGATCATACAAAAATAGGTCAATTGTAATAATTTTAATAATCACAAAGATTTCAAATTAATTTATTGCTATTAAAATATACCTGTGTATTATTGCACATTAACAAAAGAGGTTTGCTTTTTGTTTAATTTATTATTTAAGAATAAAAAAAGTCAAAAAAAATTTTTTTATATAATTAATGAATCACAAAACCAATTTAACAAAATCAGAATGTTCTATTGTAAAAAGATTTAAGGAAGAAAGCATGTTGATTGCCAAAATTGTACGAATTCTCAGATGGTTAGATAATTGCATCAAAAATTGTATTAAGTACTTAAAATCAACTAGTAATTCCAATTATTTAAGAAGAAAATATTGTGATTAGAAACTATTTATTAGTAACTATTATAAACATTTAATTTTTCAAAAAATAAAATCTGATCCAACTCTTTAAAGAATGTCAAACCAATCATTTGCTGCCAAATTTTCATCCATCCCTATATCTCCAAGTATTCTATTAAAAACACTAAAAAAAAATGGTATTTATTCACATATTGCTCATAGAAAACTAATAATTAGTAAAACAAATTGAATCAAATAGTTAAAATAGGCTTTAGCTCATAAAAACTGATCTAAAGAAGATTGGCAACAAGTTTTATGGACTGATGAATCTTCCATAAATACTGACTCAAATAGGAAAATCTGAATCTGATATCATAAAGATGAACTTTATGATCCAGATTGTATTCAAGCATCTATTAAAAGTAATCACAAGTCGATAATGGTCTGGAATGTATAGATGAAAACAATTTATGTCATTTACTTTGTGCTACATCATGTATGAATGGACAAGAATATACAAATGTTTTTTTGAAGCAACTTACTTGATAGTGATGATTTTTAATAAAACAATACTTCAGGAAGACAATTCACCAATTCATAAGTGTAAAATTGTAAAGAAGCTCAAATCTGAGCTTGAAATTACAACGATGGAATGGCCTGCTCAATTTCCTGACCTCAGTCCAATCGAAAATGTATGGAGAGAAGTCAAGAATTGGATTCATAAAAACAGAAAATCGCGAAACGAATCTGAGTTAGAAGAAGCTGTTACTGCGGCATGGAATTTGAAAAGATTCTTCATTTTATAAATTCTATGCCAGAACGAGTTAATGAGGTGATAAAAAAAAGGGGTACGCAACCCATTGGTAGTTGTATGTTCGGGTAATAAAAAAAAAAAAAAAAAAGTGATATACGTTTATAAAAATCCGACCTATTTTACGGCATGATTGCGGGATAACGCGAAACAAAATTTGAAAAGTCATACAAATTTTGTGTTAAATAAAAATTATCTTAATATAAATATTTTTCTTTTCTAATTCCGGATTAAAGTATCTAAAAATATACTTGTTTCTTTTAAGTGCATCATTGTTGATTTGGACTAACCTTTTAATTATTCTTTTTACTATTCTTAACAACTCCTAAAATATTTGGCTTGCGTTATAAAAATTTGACATGCGTCTTAGCATACATGTGATTATTAACTTTATTACTGGCTGACACAAATTTATGTGTTACAAGCGACATGGGATATGTATTGGATGAGAAACCTTCCTCTAGTAACCTTAATAAAATTGCAATGGGCGAACTTCAAACGTTAGAAACACCGGTCGTCACCTCAAAGGCTGAGCAGCCAATAGTTGTGAGTCAACACTCCCTGATGCAAGCAGTAAGCTTCCTACGCTCTGAACTTGAAAAAGTTCAGAACGAGAAGAGCGATTTAGTTAAGGAGCGCATTTCTTTGTTAGAACAACTAGAAATAGAAAAGAATAAGAACAGTAGCATAGAGGTAGCAACAGACATTAATGAGGACTCGGTTTCCTCTTCTGAAAATGCAAAACAAGAGATTATCGCAGAATTGCGATCGCAAATCGAACGAGTTGAAAAAGAAAAAATAGAGTTGATCGCACATGAACAACAAGAAAAGCAAAATATAAAAACTCAACTCGATCAATCCAGGGAGGAAATACAAAACTTCAAGGCCCAACTTGAACAGACTCAAGAGGAAAGAAAAAACCTCAAGGTACAATTCGATCAGGCCCAGGAAGAAAGGCAAAGTATAAAAGTTCAACTTGAACATGTTCAGGAGGAAAAACAAACCTTTAAGGCCCAACTTGAACAATCTCAAGAAGAAGGAAAAAATCTTAAGGCTCAATTAGATCAGGCCCAAGAAGAAAAACAAAGTCTAAATGTCCAGTTTGAACAGGTTCAGGAAGAAAAACAAAATTTTAAGGCCCAACTTGAACATTCCCATGAGGAAGGAAAAAACCTAAAAGTTCAACTTGATCGGACCCAGGAAGAAAGACAAGGGCTAGAGGTCCAGCTTGAACAGCTTCAGGAAGAGAAACAAAAGTTAAAAGCTCAACTTGATCAGACTCGGGAAGAAAAGCAACAGTTAGAGATACAACATCAAAGTTTAATTGCGAAGCTGGCGAATTTTAAAACATCCATAGCTGACAAATTGAAGACGGACATGGTAAGCTTCCTTGGATTTTATTATTTTATTCATAAAAAGTTTAATTCAGTAAAATTTATAAATTGATTATAGGAGGAGCTTAATCAAAAACAACAACAGATAGAAAAATTAAATCAACAAAATCAGGATCTTAATACACTCATTGCTGAATTGCAATCTGATCTCACAACATCTCGCAATGAACGCGAAAACACCGCACAGCAGTTGCAAACTTTAGAAACACAATTATATGAAATCCAACTTCAGACTTCACACGAAATTTCAGAAAAAGAAAAAACAGTCCGAGATCTACAAATTAATTTAGACCGTTCCGAAAGGGAAAGATTGGATGAAGAGGTGACAATAATGGAATTGAAAAGTGCCAAGGATGAATTGCTTTCTCGTATAAAACATTTTGAAAGGGAAATGGAAACATTGAAACATGAGAAAGAGACTTTAAAGGCGGAAAAGGATAGTGAGTCTGAGAGCCTGAATAATTTACAAAATGTCTTGGAAGAGTTTGAAGCAGGTAAAATAAAACAAAATAAAGAACAAAATAAAAAAGAAATTTGTCGTCACACCTATTGCATTGTTCTTTACCAGCCAAGCAATCTGAAATTCGGGAGGCAGTTGAAGGAATACAACGACGCCTCGCAACAGCCATCAAGGAACTAGCCGAATTTAAAGATCGTGCAATACTAGCAGAGGTTTGTCAATTCCACAATGGAATTATGCGAATATGTTGAACACTTTGCATTTGTAACCTCACAATGCGTTCCTTATTACAGAACCAGTTGACACAAATTAAAGAAGAGGTTGGCCGTACAACGCAGTACGAAAAAGAGATCAAAGAAAAAAATATATTGATTGGAAAATTGCGGCATGAAGGTTAATGCAGCAGTAAATCAATGTTTTTTATTATGCATTCCTTATGGGTTCATTCTTATTGTATTGAACAGTAGTATTTAAATAATTTAGCTGTAATATTGAACGAGCATCTCACCGAAGCCCTTCGTCGTATGAGGGAGGAAAGCAGCGAAAATAACGTAGACAAGTTAGTTTATAGCCTCCTATTATAAATTCTACAATTTTTTAATGATAACCCAGTTGATATTATATTCTTTAGACGTCTTATCACCAATTTGTTGATAGCCTTTTTCAACACTCCGCGTGGAGATAGTAAGCGCTTCGAAATATTACAATTAATGGCTAGCATGTTGCAATGGAATGAGGAACAGAAAGAGCAAGTTGGATTAATAAGGAAGGCATCTAGAACTTTGGATAACGGTTGGACATCTGGGTTATGGACGCCGACAATAGAGAGACCACGGAATAGATTATCCGAAGACGTTCCTAGACCAACTGTCAGAATAAGTGATGAGGATGATGATCATAAAGAGGTTTGTTTATCATTACTGTTCCGATAAATTATTACCAATTTGATTAACTCTTTTTTTGTTTAATTAGTCATTTTCAGATATGTGGATATCATTTTTACTTAAAGAGGCTAATAAAGATGAACAAAAAGTTGATAATAGTTCGACATCCACCCAAAGCGAATAATTTACAACCTTGTTTTTTTATATTGCTTAATTAATGTATTATAATACTATTTCGTTTCTAATTTGTTTCTTTTTTGTATTTTATTTAAAATTTTTTTGCTTATCCCTGAATTTATCCACTAGACATAATCAAAAATCACAATGGTGGTGTTTTTGTAACCAATTGAATTTGGTTTACGGATGTGAATAACTGACACTTTTTTTTTCTCCTAAGGAATTGACTGATATCTTAGACTACATAATTCTTTAATTAATTTGCAATATTGTTAGACACTATACCAATGTAATTCCTGTGGAATCCATAATTTAAATACTATTTGTTTATAACAGAATAAAGTTTATTATCATAATTAAATGTTTATCATATAGTGATAACAGAAATATAATTAATACTGCGATTAAAAAGCTACTGCATCCCCTTACCTTTAATTCATCGTTGCAGCTGTTCCAATCACAAAAGGATCTGAAATTGATAACTGATCTTAAGAATAAGACTATTAATCATTCTATTCATTAGATGTTTAAAATATTCTCGAATCTGGTTAAATCAAAATTCATTAATAATAAAGAGTATAAATGTTTCAAAAAGTATATTAGGTCCTTAATTAAGTTCTTAAAATTTGTTATCTCGAAATTTTTATATATAAAAAAATAATATATAAAATAGTTGGCTATATAAAATAAATTGAATAATTATGAATTATATAAAGATGAATATAATATTAGAATCATATCATATTTATTAAAAATTTTTTTTCTTTTAATTAATTTTTTTTTGATATTTTTCTTGAAAAAAACAAAATCAAACAAAAAATTACATTACAATCTAAAAAATATTAAAAGTCTCAATAACACTATTTACTAATAACCTAAATAATTTATAAATAAATATCTTATATAAATTATTAATATTTTTATAAATATAAAATATTTAAGTAAATAAATATATACATATAAAAGTTAAATCATATTAAAATTAAGGAATCCAATATTAACTTTTTTAGTTTCTAATTAAAATTAATATAGAATAAATATTTTTCTAGATATTAAAAAAATCTTGTAAAATAATAATTTTAACAAGTAAATTAGTCAAGATTCAAGAAAATATCAAGAAATTCAAAACAATAAATAGAAACACAATAATAGAATTTTATTTTAATATAAATAACAAGATATATCATATAAATATAAATATAAAAATTTCATATCATTATATTTATTTTATTATACTATCAATTTATTTACTCAAAATAATTATAATAAATATTATAATAATATTAATATATGTTTTATATTAGAGTTTTGAAAAATATAAAACAAAGACAAGTAAATTAGATTAGAATTTAATTTTAATAAAATATATTATAATACATAATATATAAATATTTAATAAAATATATATAAATAAATTTGTGGATTAATAGTACAATAAGTATACTTCCAGATTACTATCCATGAGTTAATAGTTCAATCCCACTTGAGAACAGTATTCACAATATTGATTATGTTATACAAAATGTATGCTTATCATCACATGCACTTCTGTACACAAAAACAATCTATAGATTTTTATCATCCAATTACAATAAAATAAATTAGATCATATAGTCTTGACCAGTTTTAGTGCTAAGAAAATTATAAGATCCTATTATCTGAAATATATGAAAATATCAAAACAAGTCAGAATAGATTTTAATAGATTCAAGCTTCTAATGAAAATATGAAGATACTCACCTTTTTTCAAAAAAACATTTTTATGGGAGATCTGAAAAGCTTCAATCATCTGCATTAATAAAAAATATATACAATAGACCATAACACAAATTAATATAAAATTTTATCATAATTATAAAACTAATGGCTACTAAAAGATACAATTGTTTACAAGGCTATTAATTAACATTAGTATTATAATGAGAATTGTAGAGGTGAACTAGAAATTTGAAAGAAGTAATTCAAAAAGTAACAACCAAGAAAAACCTTAGCAGGCCATATTTGAAGAGTATTTAAAAATGAAATAATGGAAGATTATTGATCAATCAACAAAGCAATATTATTGAATTGTAAAAATATTAGCATAAAACTATAGAGTCTACATATATCAAAGTATAACTAGCTTTCTGAGAACCAAACATGGTAAGAATATATTATGATATTTATAAAAAAGAATATAAAACAAAGTATCAAAAACTAAGAAATACATATCTTAAACTTCTTGAAAAATAAATAATTAAAAATTATCATAATAGACTTTAAACATTATATAGTCTGGATACAACAGGGCAACTAATAAAATAGTATCATTATATAGCAAAATTGGAATATTCAATTGAATAAGTAGTATAGAAAAATAGGTTAGATAAATATTTCATATAATCAATACTGTACTATTGTAAATACTTAATAAAATTTATTTCAATCAAGTTAAACTTTAATAAAAAAAAAAAATAGATATAAATTTATAGATAAAAATTATAGTGGTTAATACTTTACAGATTATATTATAAAATTCTGATTCAAGTCCTTTAAGCAATAAAATTATAAAAATTCTATTATTTTTGTTGAAAACAGAAAATCTATTAATTTGATATTACTTATAATTGATCATTATCCTAATTAAACAAGTTTATAAATAGATGATATAATACTATGCTCCTGTATTATAAATCTAATATGATTGAATTTGCAACTAAAAAAATTAAATTCTTATATGTTAAGTTTATAGATTCTTAATTGATCATAAATAGATTTTAAGCTTAAAAAATCAAAAAATTCTAAAAAAAAAGAATAAATTTCTTCTCAATAGGCAATATAAAAATATATAATATAAAGTATTATATCAATTTATTGGAAAATCTTGATAAAAAAAATAATTTATATATCATATCAAAGTATCTAAAATATTTAGTATAGATTAAAATATATTTAATATAACAGTTTAATTAGATTAATTAAATATTTTAGAAAAATAAAAATAGTATTATATGTTCTATCTTACTCTCAGAATGATATGCAAGAAAAAAAAAAGTCTTCATATCAGAAATCAAATTAAAGAAGCTTGAATAACAGATGTGACAATTTTAGATCCAACCAAAAACAGATGCTGGACTCAGTCTTAAATTACAAAAAACTAAGAATTACATTAAATCGAATGCTGACCACAAATCAGGAAGGGAAAGTTACATTGCTACTAATTCTCAAACTATCAGAAGCAAGGTTAGAGAATATCACAAAAAGGTATTCAAAAAGAGAAATATTGATTTCAAGAATCTAGACCCCTCCTGAAAAAAAGAATACCAACCTAAAGAATGGATCAATCCAACATGGTATTCACCTTTAACAAAAAAAATCAAAGTAGAAGAGCTTAAAGCTACTTTGCAATCTCTTCCAAACAACAAGGCTGCTGAC